CGCAGAAAGATTGAGTAAATGATTGATGTGGACTTTCACATTGGGCCCTGTCCCTCAACTCTTGTACCCTTAGAACCTGTCGGACCGACTTTCGAGTGCTCCTAGTGGAACCAAATGACTGATTTCCATGTTTCACGCTCCTAGGAAGATGAGCTCCTCAAGACTTTGCCGTAGACGTTACTACAACCTCATGCAATTCTGAGCAGACGGAGATCATTTACCCATTTACTATGCTGGGTTAACTCACTGTAAGCCTCTTTACCACCTTTAAACGCTAACGTGGTTGTGTACCGAGCGCGCCTTTGCGTCAATTCCTCTAACCTGGCTCAGGTTTAGAGCGCAGACTAGCAGAGCAGCCCCAGGAGAGAGTGTTGCAGAGAGGACATGGCGATACATCCTTGGTCAAGGAAAGAGACACGGACAGGGTAGAGCATCGTGATGCGTGAGTGTGAAATGGTGGTGTAGGAGTGACCTCTCCCCCCCCCCCTTCCCCTTCCCCAACCTACCTACCAACTTCCCAACACAGCAAATATTCTTTGACGCCAGTTGTTGCGGACTCAGGATGACATTACTGGTGGAGACGACTGGCTCCAATCAACTCCACGACACGCCCTATCCACTCGAACTCAATCCCTTCACCCACATAAAAATTTCTCATTTTCTCTGCGCTCTCAAGCCCACTTGACTGCTTGTGACCACTCTGCCTTTCGACAGCCGCAGTCCTCTAATCCTCTGCACCCTGTCCTTTCGCGCCATGGCTCAACCAAAAGTTCTAGTTGTCACTTAACCGTTACGGGCGCTCGACTGAATAGTTTGTACACAACATTTCCGCTCTAACAATGGACCAGTAATAATACGGTACCTGATAATCCGCAAACGACGTCCAATAAGAACGATGAGAACAAGATCGGGACAAGTGTTTCTTGAAAGTGACAAAAGGTAACAAAAACCAACATATTGAATCATTTCATATATCACGGCGATTCAAAAAAAAGTCCAGGAGAACAGTTGCTACTGAAAAGAAAGCGAAGCTCACATTTCCATAAAACTTTGTCATTTGAACTCAACGGCTTACTTTTTCTTTCTGAAAATCCTAAGAAATCAAGTTCTTAACCTCAATTAGTGTTAAAGATATGAGGCGCTGTTTGGCTTGGTGGAGGCATTTTGCACTTTTGCTAGCTCCTTTGGTTGGTACATATTACCGTGATTCCGGTCCCGCTTTGGCTGGACATGTAAATTCGTGTGAAGCTGCAAAACAAATGAGCCGTTTCAGCAACAGGATTTTACAGGTTTTTACAACGTGTCTTGTGCAGGCTTACCTGAGTGCCATTCGATGCCCCCATCAAGTCGAACTAAGTCAGATATGACTACAAACAGGTCCATTGTATTAATAATGGGAATGGATGCAAGTTGAAGATAAAACAGAACAAATAGACATAATACACAACATCAGCATACTGAAATACCGGACGCGAACATCATATTTTCCATAGATGTCTGGTCATTTTCACCATGTCATTATTAGCCTCGATACGCGTGTTAATAATCGATTGAAAAAAAACGGCTCACGTACATCGGAACTAATCTCTTTCTTGAGAACGTTTCATAACTTCGCGATGTAGCAATCGTGCGATTCGAATAGATCGCCAAAGTATGACGGCTCTTAAAAGCACGCGTGCATGGGATGCAAGAGATTATCGATCGCAACGCATAAAATCGACATTTTCCGAAAGTTTGCATATAAAGAGCTAAATAAAATGTGAAAACGAGCTCACAAGATTCCAAACCCTTTCTATACTATAAAAAGAAAAACAAAAAAAATAACATAACCTTAACAAACACACCGCGCCACAAGGCTCGTTTATAACAATGCATAAACACAACAGCCTTTATATATTAACAATACATTACACACACACACAACATTAAGTGCACACCTTGCCAAAAGACCGAGCGATACAAACAAACATCCCTAATATGATAGGAGTTTGTCAACCAACATATAAATCGCTCCAATCCTAGACCATAACCTCCATGAGGAACAGACCCATATTTTCTTTGATCCGTGTACCTTGAAAATATTGAAACATACTTTGTCCCGAAAGCCGGTTAGGAGTTGTCTCAAAAGCCGGTCAGGAGTTCAGCATTCCGATACGTACTACTCTGATGACTTCCGGGCTAACCTTGGTTTGGGGGGGTCATATAGCGGCGCATCTGTACCCTCCTTTTCAAGGTTTTCTGTTAGCACAGCAGAGATAACCTCAGCTCACGCGGCCTGGGCAGGGCGGGTGTTTGACGAGACAATCGTACTTCGCCACGCCGGAGGGCGTCGTTCGCGACGTCGCGCCAACAAATAAGGACGTCTCTATGTCGTAAATGGCCATAATACAGAACGTATAACTAAAAATAGCCATAAATGTATACGACTGTCGTCTTACATGATGCGGTCGCCCCAGTCGACAGCCCTAATGCAAACTAAAAAAACGCAACGCTGGTCCAGCTACTGCGCCGGCTTTCGGCCGAATTATGATTCTCTTGACCATCTAACGAGCAGCTCAGATGAGCTCGCTTCCTGGGAGACCCATTCGAACTACATCATCACAGACTCGATATACTGAAGCAATCCCGCCTAAATTAAACCGCGGTCCTGGATCTAATGGCGCGCGCACGTGACGCCGTAACGGTGCACAATATTGACCTCCAAACAAAACTAAGCAAACGGAGTAAGTGAACCACATAGGCTCATGGCAAACAGTTCGCCGAAATTCATGAATAATCTTACCAGAAGTAATTCTTCGCATCGATTCCTGCTCCGGTAAAAGCTTTATGAAGTTCTTCTTCGCTCCATATACGCATTGAAACCTCCAACTATCTCACCAACACCTTGAAACACATGATTCTAAACTATTCTCAGCACTGTCATTAAAATAAGGGGCAGAAGAAGCTGCGGGCAGGGAATGACATACGCACGTGACATACAATGGTACGTTTGAATGCCTGTGACCTCTTAGTGATATAGTAGCCCCCTTATTCCCAGTTTCAGTTACGGAGGATAAGTGCGGCCCAGCCTTGTCGCTGCGTCCCCCTCCCCTCAGCCCCAAATCTTTCAATCTACCGCTAACAATTATTTCTATTCAGGGAACCAAAGCTAAACAAAAAAGGAAATCCGAGAAATAGGAAGTACTCACCCGGCATCAAAAGATCCACTGATTCAGTAAGCTCGTTGTCATCTTGGCATCGTGCCATGTAGAACGACCCCCCCGCCTTGATACCCAGCTGGGAAATCTGTTTGAGAGGAATTGGCCTGTAATTCACTGATAGAGCACGCGAATCGGATAAATATAACTGCCGATAATCCCCCAAGGGTGGACTGGGTCAGAAGAATCGCAACTGCTTGGCGACACGGGGAACGTAGGCTGAGGCGCGCATTTTCTTTCCTAAATGACTCGGTATACTGCAGCAACTTACGCTAAACCAAGTTTGGTGCGAATACCGCGCAATATCACACCGGAGTTTGGATCTCCTGACACACCTCGTAAGTCAAAGCAGGGCCAAGTCGAACAGCTGGCCTGAGACGCCGATCTGAGAGTAGATTAGCTCAAACGAATTAAATCTTAACCTCTCGGAATGTTATCGTCATTTTCCTTTTCAGCAGCTTCGGCGAGTCTCTTCCAATGCACGAACTTCTCTCCATGTTCAATTAACGTACTATCATGTTCAATGAGGGGCCAATCACATAGCTGCGGAGTACGTTCCATGGCGACGGAATGGCGCTTGGCGTTTGAAATCCAAAATTCCGGAATATCGGATCAAATATTAGATAATCAACAATGTAGTGCTATATTGCTCGTCACTTCCTGTAAATTTCAGCCATTATGGCAGTGAATATGGTGCACTCACAGCCCTGCGTTTACCACAACAGGTAAACAATGGAATACTTTCACAAACTAATTTTTACGGCAAGATATCCAATATCAGCTCCCAAACTTCCTCCCAACGGGCAATATGGAGCACTGGGGGCTAGCGGAGAGCAGGAAAAGCAGTAAGGGTAAAGGCATTAGGTGACACGCCGTAGTTCCGAACGACAGAGGAATCGTATTGTGATCACTTTGGAGACAGGGAGTCATCTGCGTTGAGAAGAAGCTCGGGTTGTTAAGCGATTTCGCTTCGGTTTTTCTTACTTTCACAAGCCCCCCTCCCACCCCTGGCACAGGCGGGGTGGGAAGAGCGTTGAGGCTGCCCGGGTGGTGGGATGTGAAGGAGGGTGGGCGGATATGCGGGAGTGGAGGTGGGCTGTGAAACCCCAGGGGGGGGGACGGGGCCGATTTTTTTTTTTTTGAGCAAAAAGAGGAAGCATGAAAAACCAAGGGAGAAAGCGGTAGCATTGGGAGGGGGGCGGGGGGGGGGGTGGGAGAGATCATACCAACCTGCATGCAAACGTTATGGGTCATTAAATTTGCGAGCTCCCCCCCCCTCGCTCTACCAGTACATCTGTCAGTGACAGCACTTAAAGTCAGACCATCTGGGCTCACATGACCCACAAGAGTTCAATAACAACATACATTTACAGACAGCATGGCGCAATGAATCAAAAATTTTGCAGTTCGGCCTCAGTGGGGCAAGTGATACTTAGCGAAGTTGGCTCAGACCACCCTGTGAATTCCTGTAGCCGAAGTGGTTCATTTGTACCACTTTGATGGCTCCCTTGTACCAGTTTGAAGCTTTGCAGGACTTTACAAGTCTTACCAAAGTCGAACCTCTTGATCAACATAAACTCGCAAAAGTGCCATATGCCCCTCCCAAGCTGAACATCGGTAAAACTGAGTTACTAAATCTTAGTAAGAAAGGCAACAAATAGGCGCACTAACCGGGTTCACGTGATCGATGAGAGCCTTAACAGACGGATCCGACAGTAGACGATCAACTGTGTCACAGACGATGTCCTCAATACGATCCATCAACTCATCAAACGTGATGAATGCACATTCCGCTTCAACGTGTGCATATTCGGCCAGATGGCGACGGGTTCGTGATTTCTCAGCTCTGCAATGAAACCAATTAGGGGGTCTGATGCGGGGAAGACATCAACACTCCTAGTAAACCTTTACCGATAGGACTGTGCAATACAGTAAACATCTCCAAGTGAGGCGTTGCACGTTTCGAGGTATAACTGAGACGACTGCGTAAGATACGACTGCTCACCGAAAAAGTCCAGAGCAAACAGTGTTGCTCCACCTTCGACCTGAATTCAGAAAAAGTTCTTAGAACAGACTGAAAACACTTCCACTGAAGACTGTGATAACGAGGCTTACAGGGTGTTGACAAGGTTGTTCCGTATTTACATTTATACAGTCTACAGTTAGTATGCTGAAAAGCGCTAAACGAGGTGTCCTCCCGCCTTCCCGAAAGTTATTAGGTCTCCCCCTTCGAAACTTTCGTTTTTTCCAACGTCCATCAGAAACGCTGAGTGATAAGGCGCTCGGTGATCTGGAAAGTAACTCTCAGATTTTGAGACACGTTTTAGGGATCCAAAGACGATTATCTGGTCCGAAATACCAGGTCATCAAAAAAAATTCTCATACCCCCACTCGCATAAAAAAAACACCATAATATAATACGCCAAGTCTAAAGGAAATAGAAAGGCGAGCAAAACGGGCTTTCTAACTTCTTGAAAATTTGTCGGAACCTGGAACTCACCTGTGTTTGTACAAGCGTTGGAGGACAAGACTTCAGTATAGCCAGCATGGTAGAAATGCTCACGCATGGCCCGAGTTGCTGCGGCTCTTATTCGTAATATACGGGACGCATTTTCACCACGAATGACAAGATGCCTGAAAAATAGCAAATGGGGTCAATTTTCTCGAAAGTCGAGGAAAAAACATGCTTGTGTAACAGCAAAAAAAACCGAAATTTCGGCGGTTCCAGATCGGGAGTAAGGGGGAGCATTTGCCACTATGGTGTAAATGTTTTGCAAGGGTTGACAGGTTTCTCTACAAGAATTGACAAGTATCTATAAATTTTGACTAGATGGCTCTACACGACCATGTGAAGCAGCGAAAAGGGCAAAATGCTCCCCCCCCCCACCACTTCGTGCCGTAACTCTGGCCTTCTAGTGACAGGTGAATGAAACAATAGGTGGACGAACACACGTAGTACCTGTGCTCGAGCATCACTTCAACTCCTGCCTCCTCGTTCAGGACATTGTCAATGCCACCAGCTGGAGCAGAACCAATCAAGCGCCAATAGTCCACGATCAATTCATGACCATCAGGCGCTTGCTTTCCTTCAGGTACCTGATAAACAGAAACTTGGGGAAACTAGTGCTTAATCCACCTCCTCCCCCGACACACACATAAAGAGCGGTAAAAACGAAAAAGTAAGTAACATAATCACCTTTTTGATAGTACCATACACCTCAACAGAACTTTCCGTACTCAGCGTTACTGCATCGTAACTTTGACACTAAAATTATAGATCCACTCAGCTTACAGGACTTTTAGCAAGTTGAGGGAAAAACCAGCACGATTTGAAAACTAAACAATCATATATTTACCCACCAGAAGGTCACTAAGTACACATTGAAGGTAACCAGAACCATCACGAAGCACCCAAAACATCAACGCCTTTCCTAAATAAATGCTTTTTGATAGTTCGCAAAAATCGTAAGGAGAGAGGAGAAGGAGAACGCCATGCTATCAAATGAAATCCAATGTAAGGAAACTTTTGCATTTCGCGTTGAATTTGTTTAGTTATTTACTCCTTTGCTTAGTATATGCTGCTTAATCCAAGTACTGTGACACAACAACCTACAGAAACTGACTATTAGTATTGGACATATCGCAGTTCAGCGCAGTTCGGCTTGGTAGGGGCACGGAATGGTACTCAGCGAAGCTGGGACGCCATATTGTGAAAACCTGTGAGCGCCCACAATCCTTTTCTGGTTGGGAAGGCGAGTGAAGGGATGCAATTGTTCTAATTCCACAAAAACTGGTAGGTCAATGAAGTTTTATGCCAGCTCCTGTTACTAAACTATTCGGCTACATTTGTCAGTTCTCGCTTCTCGGCGACAAAGCCTAGACAGAGAACAGAAGAAAAAAAACACAGAATCATTGATGGGGCCACCTTTCCTTGGTGATTCGAGCACATTTGAGCCACTCGAACGCGTTTCTACTTGGCGATATGGAAGAATTAAGATATTAGGAGAATGCGCTTCGAAGCAGGATCTCGAAATTGATCTACCTTGGTCGCTAGCGAGTTTGGAGATAAGGTGAATGCCCGCTAAAGAAAGTATAGGTATCGATCTCGTGCTGATATTATGATCTCGATATTGAGAAATCATATATCATACATAGTCAGAGTAAAAAAATATCCTGTCTGAAGCACATAATTCAATGACGTAGTCCAAATCAGCACGTAGCCAAATTCGAGTAAGATAAATTTGGCCCATAGACACTTAAAGCATTAAAA